CCCGCCATCCACCAGCCCCCCCGCCATCGACCGGCCGCCCTGCCATCGAACGCCTGCTTTGGTTCTTTTGTGTCTGAAAACTTGAATTCTCTACATCAAAACTTCAACACAAAGGTCAAACTACGGATATAAAATTTTTCTGGGAAAATGTATTTGGGGGAAGCTAAGTGCACCAAACATTTTCAAAGTTAGCAAAACGAGAAGGTGCTAAATGGAGAAATTAGCTTCGCTTTTAGCGGACCGATCAGATTCTTCTGAAGAACCAAACCGGTTAGTTGGGTCCAGTTTGTTCGGTCGCTGTTGATGTCGGGTTATTGTAACGGAGTCGTGACATAACCAGTGACTCCGCCCCATAGCCAATCGGTGAGCAGCAGTCTTGTGATGTCACGTTTTGTCTTGGACCCAGTGGAGTCGGTTCTAGTAAGGCCGCTTCCGAATCGGGGAGCACGCTTCAAGATGTTTTGGTTCAGGAAACATGGCGGCTTGGTGACATCATCCTGCTGTCTGCTTCCTGCAGGGAGGAACTTCCTCCGCGCGTCTCAGATGAACCTGAACTTCGCCACGTGGGGTCGTCTGATGATGAGCTTCCTGCCGCCATGCAACTCCCTGGAAGCCATGAGTCCGCCGCTGCCGGCTCCCGGCGCCGCGGCGTCCAGCGGCTCGCCGCCACGGTGAGTCGGATCCGTCAGATCCTCCGGATCGCGGTCAGAGCTGATGGATCTGTTTCCTGTCAGAGAGCGACCTCCGTCCAGACTGGCCGTCTCTGAAGAATCCATCAGAAGATCTCCACGTCCCTCCAGGAAGGAGACGAAGGACGCCTCGGCCTCGCAGGTCTGAGAGGAACGTTGAAGCTATAATCAGAGACAAACAGTCATTAACTTTCAGTTTCTCTCTGATTTTCTTCTGGAAAAGTCTCCTGACTGGAAGAGCAGCCTGAAGCCCAGGAGGTCGGCCTCGGCTCGGCCGGCCTCGGCTCGGCCGGCGCCGCAGTGAGTCTCAGTAAAACCTTTCCCTTCACTCAGTCCGGATGTTTTATCTTCTTCTTTTTAACGATGTTTCTTTGTAATTGTACATTATATAAACCTGAACAGGTGAGTTCTACATGAATTGACTCTTCATGTTCTATAATCTGGATTAATAAATGACGGAACCTAATCTGACCAGGAACCGAACCACTAGAACCTCAAAGGACCCGAAAGGTCCTTTGAAGGATTCCTGCGTCTTTAAACACTAACGCTGTAAAGTTTTCTAGATGGCAGCCAGAACTCTGCCGGCCCCGTCCAGCGGTCCGGTTCCCTCACCGTGTTTCTTCTGCAGGTCCGAGGCGCTGAAGATGGAGGACTTCCAGTGCGTTTCCGTCCTGGGAAGAGGACACTTCGGAAAGGTACCGGAACGCCGGGATCTGCCGTAAAACCCGATGAAGGTTAACGACTAACAGAACCTCCTCTGACCCAAACCAAGGTTCTGCTGGCCGAGTACAAGAAGTCTGGGAAAATGTTCGCCATCAAGGCGCTGAAGAAGAGTGAGGTCATCACGCGGGACGAAGTGGACAGGTGAGGAGGATCCACAGAACCTCCAACCATTCTGTTCATGTTACCGGTACGAAACACGGCCCGGTTCTGACCCGGGCCATGTTTCTCTGGAAGTTCTGGTGGAGTTCCTGACCCGGTTTGGACTCCAGCAGAACCTCTCCTGGTTCCGTCTGAAGCGGACCATGGGTTTGAGTGAAGTTAGATTCGTTGAGCTGTTCTACATGTTGGCCTGTAGGAGGCGCCGTCTCAGATAAGGAAAGTGTGTCTCAGTGGTTCTGGTTTGTCTGACCCGGTCCAGTCTGGTCTGTGAGAAGCGGATCTTTGAGGTGATCAACTCGGCCCGCCACCCGTTCCTGGTCAACCTGCACGGCTGCTTCCAGACGGCCGAGCACGTCTGCTTCGTCATGGCCTACTCTCCGGGCGGAGACCTGATGAAGCACATCCACACCGCCATCTTCTCCGAGAAACAATCCCTGTGAGCCCTCTGCCCGCTCAACGGTCCAGTCAAAGTACGGCAGCACGTGTCAGCTGGGCTCTTGTTGGTTTGCAGGTTTTATTCTTCGTGCGTCCTGCTGGGCCTGGAGTTCCTCCATCAGAACCAGATCGTCTACAGGTGAGAGGCTCAGGCCCCGCCCACACACGCTGCTCATTGGCTGGAATCTGCAGCGGCTTTCCTGTCTGTCCTCCAGGGATCTGAAACTGGACAACCTGCTGATGGACGCCGACGGGTACGTCCGGATCGCAGACTTTGGTTTGTGCAAAGAAGGTGAGGGGAAAAAACGGTTTCCTGTCTTTTGATTGGTCCAAAAGGTTTGAACCAATGGCAGAGCGGCAACCATCCTGGACTGTCCTCATGCACCTGGAACCAGAATGACATAAAATGATAGTTGCATAAATACTGGTTATGTCTTTTATTGTGAAAATCCACGTAAGACCGTTTCCTGTTGGCCCGTTAAGTATCAGGTGGTTCTGACCCATTTGACAAGCTAACAGGAAGCTGAAACTAGGAGAGATCACGTCTTTTTATCTCTATGGTGATACTTCACTGGTTGCTATGGAGATTCCCTCCTTTGTGACTGGTTGCTATGGAGATTCAATAAACAGGAAGGGAACTTGGGACCACCGATGGTTCAGCAGAGACAGGAACATGAAATGTGCAGCAGCTGGTATTAAACTTGATAGTTTTTGTTTCTGGTAACGATAAACTCTGCTGTCCTGAAGTTACCATGGAGATGACGGTTACCAGGGTAACCTGTGTGTGCGCAGGAATGGGCCACGGCGATCGAACCAGCACCTTCTGCGGCACGCCGGAGTTCCTGGCTCCGGAGGTTCTGACGGAGAACAGCTACACCCGCAGCGTGGATTGGTGGGAACTGGGAGTTCTGGTGTTCGAGATGCTGGTGGGGGAGGTCAGTGACCCTCTGCAGAAGGTTCTTTAGAGACGGATTCAGAACCTGCCGACGGTTCTGCAGGTTTCCGTTCTGAGGAGAACTCTGTTCTGTTCCAGTCGCCTTTCCCGGGTGACGATGAGGAGGAAGTGTTCGACAGCATCGTCAATGAGGAAGTGCGCTACCCTCGCTTCCTGTCGCCTCAGTCCAAGTCGCTCATGCAGCAGGTCGGTTCTGCTCCAACCTCTGGATCCGGCGGATCCACTGGGTTTTATCGGTGATCTCTCTGTTCCAGCTGCTGCAGAAAAACCCGGACCGGAGACTCGGATCAGGGAAGGACGACGCCGCCGAGATCAAACGACACAAGTTCTTCCAGGTCGGTTCTGCAGAACCCAGAGCGGTCCCACAGCAGGACGACCTGCTGGTTCTGGTGATGAAATGTTGAGTTTATTAGTTACCATGGAGACGGTACTGAACTGGATTATATTTCATTTCCCGTGACTGGGATTAAGTGCACCAAGCTGGTCAGAGTGACAACTGTTTTGTGAAGTTCTGCTGTTTGCGGCTCGGTTCTGTTTGGGTTGAAGGTTCTGATTCCGTTCTCCCCCAGGAAATGGACTGGGACGCCCTCCTGGCCAAGCAGCTGAAGCCCCCCTTCCTGCCGACCATCGCGGCCCCGCTGGACGTCAGCAACTTCGACGAGGAGTTCACGCGTCTGAAGCCGGTCCTGACGCTGCCGCGGACGCCGACCGCCGTCAGCGCCAAGGAGCAGCAGGTCTTCAACGACTTCGACTTCTCCCTGATCAGCTGACGGCCTGGCCCCGCCCACCGGGGGCGGGGGACCTGGCCCCGCCCACCGGGGGATGGACCTGGCCCCGCCCACCGGGGGGCGGGGCAAGGAGCAGCAGGTCTTCAACAACTTCGACTTCTCCCTGATCAGCTGACGGCCTGGCCCCGCCCACCGGGGGCTGGACCTGGCCCCACCCACCGGGAGGGGGAGACCTGGCCCCGCCCACCGGGGGACCTGGCCCCGCCCACCGGTGGATGGACCTGGCCCCGCCCACCTGCCGTTTTAAACGGTTGCTTTTTTACACGTTGAACGCAGCACTTTGCTCCCAGTCTGAGCTGTAAATATCCTGAAGGCCAAAAACACTGAATGTTTATCTTTCTATGTGATTGTTTTAAATTATTCTGTGGAAATGTGGATGTGATGGAGACGATTTATTAACCCAACCAGCCTGTTTGACGTGAGAATTAATGAATAAAAGCTGGACTTTCTTCTCAGTAACGTCTTTATTTCTATTCAGAGGTAAAAAACAGCCACAGTCTCAATAACAGTCAGAAAAACAACATTTGGATTTATTGGGTATAAACATAGCTCTGATTGCTCCTGCAGCTTTATTGCTCTCCATGCTTTTAACCCTTTAACCCCTCAGTTTACGCTGCAGCTGCTTCTTCACATCTAAACTTTGAAAACTTCTGAACAACAACCAGGAATGTAGGAACAGTTCTGGGAATAAATCCACCACAAACCTAAAAAACTGGACCCGGCAGAACCTGTGGGACCCGGCAGAACCTGTGGGACCCAGAATCGCCAGACATGCAGCAGGAACCCGGTTTGAACCGACAGGAAGTCCGTCAGTCGGCTTCCTGTCGGGATCAGGATAAACATTCATCTGAGACACAAACGACCCGGATAAAAACTTTGATGTTCCCAGAATATTCGGTTAAACCCTCAGACTGAGACCAGCTCTGACAGGAAGTCACAGGTTTGAGCTCCAGCTCACTTCCTGTTTCTGTGTTTACTGGTTTAATCAGCTCCTGCCCACTGGTACCAGAACCACCAGAACCGCCCTCTGGTCCCCAGGACCAAGCTGAGCCCAGACCCATCATCTGCAGGTCGGCTCCACAGAGCTGGATGGGCCCCGACCCGGGTCCTGAACTTTAACCTTCTAGGAGTCCATGAGGGCCGGGAACCACGGAAACCAGGACTAAAGATGGCGGTCCAGGAGAGGACCGGAGGTAGAGTCTGGGCTCCCAGGAACCCGGATTCAGAACCCGATCCAGGTCTGAAATGTAAACAGAACCATCAGAACCTGAAGTCACCTTCAGCCCAGGATGGGTGAGGGTCAAAGGTCATCCAGGTTAGTTGAAGTTCTGGTCAGAGGAACCGTGAAGATCAGAACTCTGCAGTCAGTTTGTTCCACTGAGACGGATCAGAACCATCCACAGTCAGAACTCTGAGTCTTAATCTGGGCCAACCAGAACGTGATCCGGGTCGGTCCGGACCGATTGGCTGGCAGAGCAGAACCACCCAGTGTGAATCGATACGTGAGCGGGTCAGAACCTAAACCGGGTCGCTGCCCTCCCTGAAGTAGGCCTGCTCCCACACCACGCTGCCCCACTGGCAGAAGAAGCCCCACAGGTTGCGGGCGGCGCCGCGGTCGAACGGGTTCTCGTCGGCGCCGCAGTGTTTGAGGTAGGAGATGCGGTGGCGCGACATGAACTCCCAGGTGGTGGCATTCATGGACACCAGGTAGAGGTGCGACCCGAGCAGCAGCAGCACCACCAGCGCCAGCGGCGCCAGCAGCCCGCAGACCGCCAGCAGCACGCCGTTGGTGCGCAGCCACCGCGACCAGGAGGGGGCGTGGCCCAGGCCCGTCCTGAGGAGACACATGGCCGTCAGCGCCCACGCTCCCTGACCTCTGACCTCTGACCTGGGGGTGTACTCACCAGGCGACGTGCAGCCCCCACAGCAGCACCAGCAGCTGCAGGGCCAGGTACAGGACGAACCAGCGGTGGTTCCGCTCGCCAACACAGTTCTCGATCCAGGGGCAGTGATGGTCGTAGCGCCGCACGCAGTGCTGACACGTCTGGCAGTGCTTCGACCTCATTGGCTGCTGCTCCAGACACACAACAACCACCATCATCATTATTATCATTAATATCATTATTATTATCATTAATAACATCATTATTATCATTATTATCATTATTATCATTATTACTATGGATGATAATAATGATGATCATCATCATCATCATCATCCATGTTTTCATTCTTTGGACCCATCATAACTCAGCTGCTTTGATGATTTTTATCATTTTAAATAGATGTTAATAATAATATTGCCATGAAATTTTAGTCATTAAATGAATGCAGATGGCTGCTTGTACTGATGCTGGTTCTGGTTCTGGTTCTGCCGGAGCTTTCTTCCTGTTACAGGGAGTTTTTCCTGTCCCTGCCGCCCCCTGCTGGTCACTGACCTGCTGTTTCCTTAGGCAGAAACTTTTAACCAGTTTGAATAATAAACTGAACATTGAATCGATTCTGAATCTGGATTTAATTGATGTTATATTTTCTGAAGGAACCTCCTGGATGTTCGTACCTGCAGCAGGCAGCGGCCGCAGCGGCGCTGATGCAGCGACTTGCTGCTGGGTGGGATCATGTCCTGCTGCTCCTCCGTTACTCCCAGAGTGAACTGGAACACACAGAGCCCACATCATGACACTGCCACCACCAAGGTCTGGATCTGTTGGATCAGTTCAATCCAGAACATTCCCAAAGTCTGGAGACTCTCTGGTTTTAGGCCATAATTTACCGGAAATAATCTGAGATTAAAGCTGTACTGGTCCGACTGGACGGTTTAATCCCACTAATCGGTTCTACATCCAGAACCTGGAGCAGAAAGGTTCCCAGACCTGCGTGGTTCCGACCCAGACCACTTCCGGCTCACCTGCAGGTCGCTGTCCTCAGTCAGGATGAATCCCGGATCCATGAGCGACACCGCGAAGTACAGCAGAACCGACACCAGAACCAGCAGGACGAACAGAACCGGCTGCAGCAGCTGGCCCGTCTCCTCCTGCTTCCTCAGCTCTGCCGGGGAAACACAACTAAAGTCCTGGAACACCTGGAAAACCTGGAGCACCTGGACCCCCCTCGCACGGACTCACCTGTGTCATACAGGAAGAGGATGAGCGTGATGATCCAGGTCAGAACCACATGGGCCGTCCTCACCAGGAATCCCGAGCCGAACACATTCTTGAACATCGTCCTAACATTCCAGAACCTCCATGCTAACCTTCAGGGAGCTGGGAATGTCAGCTGGGAATGCGGAGACTGCGCGATGTGAACAGCTCAGGAAGGACCCAGGCTGGACTCGGTCAGAACCCCAGAACAGTTCTACTGGACCGGGTCAGGTTAAAAGAACTAACTGCAAACAGAAAACAGTCGAAACCCGCGTCTGAATCCGTGTTTTCGGGCCAGCGGTCCGCTAGCATTCCGCCGCTCAGCGGGTTGTTGTCGTCCTGAACGCACACAGCTCTGATTGGTCGACAGCAGACACGTGACAGAGCAGGAGCCTGAGGAAGCGCTAGCCGCAGCCGCCATCTTGCTCAGGGGTTCTGACCGTTTAGTTCGCTTTATTTAATTTTCGTTTCTTTTGCGTCTTTCCCTTTTTATACCATTTCACTTTATATTGTTTTACTATAAAATACTTACGTTTTACAAATTTAGTTTTAATGTGCTGATTTTTATTCGTTAGTTTGCCATTTTTGTTTTCAAATGATTTTCGTTTTATGCTTTTTACAGTTTTCACCACTATATATTTTACATAAATGTATTTTAAATTGATTTACCACTTCGTTGATGCATTTTCTGAATCAGATCTCAACTGTTTTTGTTGTTTTTCTGTTTAATTTGATCAAAATTATTAGTAATCTTGTTTGGAACCGAGGTGCTGCCTGGTGTTCGGCTCATTGTACCAACATGACTTCCTTAAGCTCATCCTGGTTTGCAATAAATGCTTCAGAGTATTAGAAACATCCCCACACCATCATACCTGCACCACCGTGCCTTACAGTGCTGTCAGTTGAACTCAGCGTTTCTCAGTCAGTACATTGAAATTAAACAATTTGAATTCTATTTTTATTTGTTGGTATAAAAACAGTTTATATAAAGTTTCCAGTTGATCCCTGATTGGTTGACTGGTTCTCCAGGCCCGGTGTCTCTGTGGTTCTGATCCGATCAGGCCTGCAGCTCTGCAGCTGCTGCTCCATCCAGGATGAACGGCGTTCTGATGGTTTTGCCCTTCAGCGGCTCCAGGCCCTGGGAGCATGAGGAGCTCTGATTATTAGTTATTAATAACCAGAACCGGGTTCAGAACCAGAACCTGACGTGGTTCTGCTCCTCACCTCTCCAAAATACGACACCAGAGGAGAAATCTCACATTTCAGCGCCGGATGATTCTCTGCTGACGAACTGTGGACCGAAATATTCAATATCTACTAAAAACCCAAACTGAACCTTCATGTGAGCATAGGGTCAGTGACCTCTGACCTGGGCGGCATCTGGATGCTGTTCCCCTGTTCATCCAGCAGGGCGGCGCCAGCGTCGGCTGCCCAGCGGCAGTGCTGGGCCAGCAGGGCGTTCCTGGCCGTGGTGGGCGTGTCGGACGGCGCTCCGTCTGCGTTCTTCAGAGGGGAGAACTCGTCCTCCCTCCGGACCTCCAGCACCACGAAGCTCCTGCACAGAAACCAGCTTATAATCCAGATTACCAGCAGTCTGGAAACATGCCGGATTATCCGTACCTGGAGAACGGAAACACATCAAAAACAAACTTCTCCATCTTTATCCCGTTGGGTTCGGTTGGCTTCACCTGGTTCCCACAGGAGTCCACGAACGGGACTTTCTTCAGAGCAACATGAGGCTTCAGCTGGTCCTTGAACGTCCTGGAAGAGATTCCAAGGTCAGCAGATATTCCAGGTCAATCTGACGGTAATCCGTCCTGGCGGCTTTCTCACTTGACCACGTCCTGCAGGAAGCTCCTGGTGAAGAAGTGGTTGCAGATGTTTCCGGCGCTGTAGACCAGTTCTCCGGCTGGTCCTCGGCGCCGGGCCGTTTCGGGTCGGATCTCGCTGTACTCCACCACCTGAGGGACTCCGCCCACCCTGCAAACCACGCCCACCGGCTCGGCTGGGTGGGCCTTCTCCACCACCTGGTGGTGCAACACAGAGCTAACAAGCTAATGCTACTGAGCTAACGTCAGCCATGTTGATTTGCTCGGCGCCTTGATGAAACGTTTTCTGCTTGGAGACTGTTGTGAATCGGAGCTACATAAATAAACTGAATGTTAAAGTTTGTCGCCCTCAGCAGGGTCAAATCTGCCACTGCAGGTCAACCTGCATGTTAGCAAAAGCGCTAAGCTAAAAACGAGCTGTCCACTGAAATCAGTGAAATTTACTTTCAGCTGAGATCTGGACAGGATGTCAGGATCTGATTTATCTGGTCTAATGTTTTACTGAGGAGGCAGCTGCAGGTCAGAGGTCAACTCTGAACTCAGAGGTCAACTCTGAACTCAGAGGTCAACTCAACAGCTGAATCCTCCTCTGCTCAGATTTGTTAACATTTATCTGAAGGTGAATTCATCTGAGTGAGTTCAGGGAAAACTTGGAAATTAAACTGATAAATCCCAGGAAGAACCTTTGACCCTAAAGATTTCTTTGTTTTTTCCACTGGAAGTCGGGAAACAATCAATTACAGTTGATTACAATCAATTAGTTCATATTTGACAGAGAAATTAAAGTTTTAAGCTCGTTCTGATAATCGTGTTCTGGACGTGACCTGAACCTGCGGAGCGTCGCTAACCTTGGCGCCGCAGTCGGCTCCTTTCGCCACACAGAAGCCAACGAACAGCGGGTCGGCCATCTTGACCAGGATGTTGTCCACGCAGTAGATGTGGACGAACTCCACTCCTCTGCGCTCCATGTCCTCCAGGACGCCGTTGTCCTCCAGCGCCTGGTACAGACCGCCGTTACCGTCTGACGCAGGGAGCACAGAGGTCACCAAGGGTCGTCATGGCTCTGCTGCATTTCCTGACCAAACCCACCTGGAGCCATGGCGATCTTCCCTTTGTCCTCCAGGATGACCTTCCCATCAAAGGTCACGGCCGGGATCATGCGCTGCTCGAACATGACGATGTTGGAGGGCTGCAGGCCGAAGTGAGCGTTCTCCTGGAAGAAGGTCTGGGTGGGCTTCAGCGTGAACTCACTGGTCATGATGTACCTGGACAGGTGAGGAGGAGGGAGAGGAGGAAGAGGAAGAGGAGGCGGTCTGACGTTTAATCAAACCAACAAACTCCAAAACAACCACTTCAGGGATGGGTTAGCCTTTAAGACGGTTCTCGTTCCTCAGCCAATCAAAATGCTCGACAGAACGCAGCCAGCCAATCAGTGATGATCTCTTATACAGCAGGATAAATCTGCCATGCAGGCTGTTGGAGATTTTTCAAGGTCGGTCAAAATGGCCGACTGGTTTACGTTTTTCGATGGATGAAGTTGAAATAATTCGTTGACGTCCGACAGTCTGGTGGTTTCCCACCAGCTGATGGCGCTCCGCCTCATTCTGACGGTTTACAGGAACATGATTTAATTTCACTTCATGAAAAAAATGTTTTAGTTCAGCTGCGTAAAGGTCAACGTGATGTTAGTGAGGAATTTTGTTCAGATTGGTTTTATTTCTAAAGACGTTCCCATTTCTGCTTTGGTGATTGTTAATAATAATAATATTAATAATAATAATAAAATAATAATAATAAAATAATAATAATAAAATAATAATAGTAATAATAATAATAAAATACAGCTTCGCTCCTCAAACTGAGAACTTTAAGAGCTTAACATTTTTACCTGCAGTAACAAATTTATTCAATTAAATTAATGATACATTTCACTAATTTAACTCCTGTAACTTAAAATACTAAAACATAAAAATCTATAATTTCAGAAGATTTGAAAGTTAAATTTCTGAGTTTTTCTCACAAATTTTTGAGTTTTGGAGCTCAGAAATGTCATCGGGTTTATTTTTGGTGTAATTTATTCATTTTCCCGTCTGCAGCGGCTGCTGAAGGTTTCTTGTGCTCAGGCGGTTCCTCCTCCCAGTGGAGGGCGACGTTTCCCCCCTGCTGGCCCAAAGCTTCCCGTCGGTTCTGCTCTCACCAGGGGACGGTGCATTTGGAGCCCAGGCGGCTCTCTGCCAGCTGCTGGATCTTCAGGATCCGCTCGGCTTGGATCTGGTACAGCGTCTTCCCGCTCGGCAGCCCGACGTCGAACATCCCTTTGGGGTAGCGGACCCCGAGCCGCGTCCCCTGACCTCCAGCCAGGAGCAGAACCGCGACCCGACTCCTGGAAATCTGCAGGAATCCTGATCAGAAAGGACAGATTCATCATTTATATTCATTATGTTGACATTTTTATCTGTAACTGGAATTTTTTCCAACTTTTTTAACCATTTCTGATGTTTATATGTTTAATATTTGTATCCCTCTGAGGCTGATGATGCCTCAGAACGTTTTAAGCCCAACAGTTTGGTTTCCAGGATGTTTCTGATCAAACGAACAGAAAACAAACTTTCTTATTCTGAATCTTGTAAATATGTAAAACTGCAGCTGAACAGGCTGGGAATTGAACCAGCAACTTTCCGATCAGCCATCTTTCTTTCTACTTGAATATTCCTAGCATTCCTCCAGGCGCCATTTTAATCTGAAGTGCTCCCTCTAGCGTATAAGACGCAGCACTACAGATTGACGTCACACTACTTTCTAAAACGTGATTGGATGATCCAGTTTGTGTTTTTACTGGTTCTGACATAAAACTTGGCCCAAAGCTAATTTGCTAATAAAACACCTTGTTTCTCTCTTTTCATTAAAGATATGGGTCTATATATCAAATCAATAACAGACTCTACAAATGAAAAGGCTCAAAGGACAATCTCAATATGTTCGTCTTTGCATGTTCTTATCTAATCACCCCTGGCTGTGCTGCTTGGCTGTTGTGTTGTGTTGTATACTTCATTATGTTGTTTTGATGTATACTAATTTCATTTAAATAAAGTTCTTTGGAAAAAAAAAAACTTGGTCCAAAGCTGGAGGAGAGTCAACTTTACAAATCAATCATTAGGACGCATGCGCACTCATTCCTCAGATCCATAAACACGCTGCTGATTTTCTACTATCGCGATAAAACACGGAGTTAAAATCCCAGCGGAGTAACCTCGGTTCTGGTTCTGGTACCTTCACGCTCCCATCCAGCCAGACAGTCCGGGTCGCTCCTCCTCACGCTGCCCATGCTCTCCGGGGGAACCGGCTCCAGGTTCGGCTCCAGGTCCCGGTCCGGAGCGCAGGAGGCGGCGGCTGCTGCCTCTGCGGCCGCCCGGCAGTGCTCCTCCAGCCGCGGCAGGTCCAGCTGGGCCAGCTCCCGTAGGAACACCTCCTGCTGCTCCGAATCGAGCTCCGGCCAGAACCGCAGGACGTGGGCCTGGCCCGAACCGTCCAGAGCAGTTCGGATCTGCTGCAGGGACGGCATGTTTGGAGCGGTTCTGGTTCTGGTCCCGCAGCGCAGTCAGGAAGTGACGCCTGGCGGCTGAGCAGCTCGTGACTGAAGACAGACATGATTCCAGAACCGGAACCAGATCCAGACCCAGACCCAGAACCGGATGACTCAGCAGCTCATCAGCTGATCCAGACCGGAAACCGCAGAGATCCGGGTTCCGCTCATAGCGGCCGTCTGTCCCCATGACGTCACATCTATTCATGTTTTAAATGTTTCTTTAAACCGGAACCAATCGGAACCAGGATGAAATCCATCCCACTAGGAACCAAAACCCGGATCTTCTCCGGGATCCAGAACCAGCCTCAACAAGGACCTTCAACAGAAACTAAAATAAAATTTAAAAAACTTAATATTTATTATGTCAGTCAGATATGGATCCATAACACTCAGAGTGAAACATTGCATGCAGCCTTTATTCTGATGGTTCTGATGGTTCTGTTGGGTCAGAGACCGAAAACATTCAGTGTCTCAGTTTTAAGCAGAACCTTCTGGTTCGATCCAAACAAGCAGTTTCATCATGATCAGCCAAACCAATAAATACTGAAATAAATAAAAGAAACCAGCTGAGGGGTCCGGTCCGTTCGGATCCGGTCCGGTCCGTTCGGATCCGGTCCGGTCCGTTCGGATCCGGTCCGGTCCGTTCGGATCCGGTCCGGTCTGGTAGGGAATCAGTTCGGTGAGTTGAGGAGTGTTTCTATGATCAGGAAAGTTTCTGAGTTTTCCATGGAGCTTGAACGCCTCATGCTTGGATCATGTGATGCTGGTTGCCATGGTGACGGAGTCCTGGTGTCCGCTGAGGTTTTTCCCATCAGAACCTGGAGGTTCTGCTGAACTGGACCCAACCCTCTGGTTCTGATCTGGGTCAGGTTCTGGAAGGAAACCGTCCCGGTCAGACGGTACCAGGCGGTTCTGGCTCTGATCCAGAACATCAGACCCAGAGGAGCTGAGACGGCCCACCAGAACCAGAACCAGAACCGGCTCCTCCTAGAGGTCCAGAACCAGATGGACCCGGATCATCATCATCAGACATGATGAAGATCAGCGGGTCGGACCTGGAGCCGGGTCATCGGGCCGGTCCGGGTCACTGCGTTCAGAGATCAGAACCGGTTCTGGGCCGGAGGACGAGGGTTCCGGTGCGGATACAGCACTTGGTTCCGGTCGGGTCCGGTTCACCTGGACTGGACCCCTAGCGACCTCTTGAGGTGTTCGTAGACGACGTAGCTGATGCTGACGGACGGGACGACCTTCATGAAGTTGGGGGCGAGGCCCCGATAGAGGCCGAGCGCGCCCTCCGTACGGACGATGAGCCGGAACAGGGCCGACATGGACAGCTGGGGGCCGGCCTGCAGCGAGGCTGGGGAGACAGAGGGACAGCGAACGCATCACAGAGGGACAGCGAACGCATCACAGACAGGCTGGGAGACAGAGGGACAGCGAACGCATCACAGAGAGGCTGGGAGACAGAGGGACAGCGAACGCATCACAGAGAGACAGCGAACGCATCACAGAGGGACAGCGAACGCATCACAGACAGGCTGGGAGACAGAGGGACAGCGAACGCATCACAGAGGGACAGCGAACGCATCACAGAGAGGCTCTTTCCCGTTTTTTCATTTAGTTCTAATTTGTTCAGTCAGAACCAGAGATATGAAGTGAACCGGGTCGGCTCAGCAGAGGAAATTTCTCGTTTCTGGGATTAGAATCAAACATTTTATAGAACACCACATTGGACCCAACCAGTCCAGAACCAGAACATCTTTCCTTTATAGATTAT